GTGCCCCCAAAAGAGAGCAGTTCTCCTTTTGAAAGGAAGCATTTTCTTTCCAGATCAAAGGCTTGCAGCAATGCCTGAGTGCACAGTCTGATTTTTGGTGGTGCAGTGTGAATGTATCAAGATGTCACTTAAACTTTGACAGGAAACAGACTGATGATTGGGATTCTACTAGCCATGTTCTTGACAGCTATGGACTTTCTGTATGGAGCAGAACTCCAGCAGCCTCTCCCAGAGAAACTCCTTCTCTGAGTTCCTCACTGACACCAAAACCAGAGGCTCCATGTCTGCTCACTGCTGCGGAGAAGTACCGGGGGTGGCTGCTTGCTTCACTTGGAGAGGGTGGGAACTGAAAAACTAAGCAGGGAATGCAGTAGTCATACCCTGTAGGACAATGGCTTCTATGGGAGCTGCCTCACTGCTCCAAGATCCATATAGGGCACATTTGAGTTTTCATCTTTAATGATGAATGTTTTGCTCTTGGGATCTTTGACTGGCAGACCACAATCCAAACCAAAGCTCCCTCATCCTTCTCTGTGCATGCTTTACTATTGAATCTGACAGTACCTTCAGGGTGAAGGCACAGCCCCAGGCAGCGTTATTGCTCAGCAGAATCTTGTCTTCCATGGCTGCATGCATCTGCCATAAAAGTGGTTTCTGCCCTCCACAGAACCCCTCCACCTCAAGTGGCAGGGAAATTGGGCTGGGAAGTAAGGAGCAGTTTCCCTAGTGTGAATAGTGGTTGTCACTAGGCTCCTTCTGCTGCTTGCTTAACTGCAGTACTGGCCTGAAACTTGCATGTGGTCCAAGCCTGTGTGCACAGTTTCTAACCCAAGAAGGGAAAGAGGGAAGGCTGACCATCTATCAGTTGGCTTCTCTGGCAGTGAGAATTGCCCTTGAGAAATGGAATCATCCTTCTTCCTAAATTCCTGGAAAAGCCTATTAACACTCTGCTGAGTATTGTGGAGGTGGAGCAGGAAAAGTCCAAAGGTCAATAGAAAGTCAGTGGTGATGTTTTCTTGAAAAGAGCAATTTCCAGCTATTCTTTCATAAATCTTACCTTATCTAAGGCAGAATCTATCTGTTCATCACATCCACAGTGTCAAGACAACCCAGTCTTTTTATCTACAGGGCCCATTTTCTTTTGTAAATGTCTGAGACTTCAGGTAAACTGCTGAAAGGTCGAGGATTTAGAGATCTTTGCTTCATAGCTACCTAAACAATTAGCAGGCATTGACTCACTTCTACTATGAAAGCAAGACAAAAATTTTTGTCTTACTTCTGGAAATCAGGTAGCACGCGGAAACGCTGGAATAGTCATGACAGAGAAGTCCACTAACTCAGGTGTGGTCCTGTAAAGTTAGCTCAGTATCTCTATATGGTAGAGTAATCTGTAGCACAGGATAACTAAGGCTGGTAATAACCCCTGTGTTGACTTAACAGCTATATTTTTTTGTTGTCATTTTTGAGTTTGTATTGGCTGTATAAAACCTATTACCCCTGTAAGATCATATTGTTGATAGTAATTAAACATGGGGGGTTTTGTGTCCCTGCACATGCCTTTCCATTACTCTCCACAGGAAATTAATACCAAGCTCATAGGTTTTGGGGAGGAGGTTCTTCCCCCAATTCCCAAACCTGTTAAATATCGGCTTCAGGGGCTTGTCATTACGAGTTGTCATCATTCTTCAGAGTTAAGTATTTAAAACATAGTTACTGTTTAACATCTCTCCTATTATTACCAGCAGGGAAAGGAACAAGAGTCTTTCTTTATCATGATAAGATATAAATACATCATCTGTCTCCTTTCCAAGTACAGGACAAATGTTTACTGAGCACTTCTGCCTTTCTGCACCATTGACAATTTTGCTGAGACTGTTTAGGTGACGGACTTAAACTGTTGCTAGGATTTTACATGTTCCTCCTAGTCTTTAAAAGGTCCTTTTTACTGCCTGTAATTCTGTTGATGGGACATTCACTGACCTGTGTTTCAAACTGTTATGTTCACCTATAAAAAATTAATTCCTGATAATCTCATTTAGTCTTCAGTATTTTCCACCATAAGGGTGGCTTTCCAGTTAGCCTCTCTTCTCCTGCATGGAAACACAGTGGGGAGAATTGCTGTTTCCAGTCTTATAGCAAAAGGTGCATTTTCCACATGATTTTATTTTTTTTAATCTTTTTTGCATATGTCAGTTCCAGGCATAGGCTACTTTGATGACATATCTGAAAGTAGAGGGGAAAAGAAACAGTTTGGGAATACTTTCCTGCGACAGATAAGGACCTGTCCCTTGTCCTTAGCATTGTTTAAAACAGGGTCTTTCAAAGTAACTGTGGTTTGACAGAAGGCCTTTTTTGGCAGATAAAGTTATTGAATAAATGGTCTTATACTTTTTGAAAATATTTAATGAAGTTCTCAAATCCAAACAAAGTAGTGTTACAAGAAATGAAAGTAGGAGGAATTTGCTCCTTGGTTTTCTTTGTTAATATTTTCGTGTACAATTTTGAACCTTTTTATTTATTAGCCTTATTTAAAGGTAGAAGAGTGGTAACATTTTATTTCAGCTTTTTTTATCCCCATATTCCAGATATTTCAGCTTTTTAATTGGATTTAGCTATTATTGATTTCATCACTTCATTAGTATTTTCCCTAAATGACAACTGATAGTTACTTGCACTTATAATTAGTTGTTTCTGATATTTTGGTAGGTAAGATGCAACTATTCAGGAAGGTCTCAAAGGATACTATGGCACTACTGAAGACAGTGACAGAACCGTCTCTTTGTCAAGATTTCAAAGCTATCCTGGACTAACTGATTGATATTTATTTTATAATTTTTTCAGGTTTGAAAATCAATGCTATACCTTTAGGTGACTTTTCTCTCTAGTTTGTTTTGATAGAGTGGACCAAAATCAGCTTTGTTCAGAAGTTCGGATACTATACAAGGACTTAAAAAGAATACACAATTTTGTTAATACCTTCTTGTTTGTGGGGTTTTTTTGTTGTTGAGGTTTTTGTTTTAAATTCACAGGCTATTTGAAGTAATTTACTTGGTTTCATTCAGTGATTCCCATCCTCTTGATGAAGGAATTATTAAACTATGTTCTGTACAAAAATTATCTACTTTCATGTTTCAGTGGGTTGTTCTGAAGGACTCTTCTTTACTTCTCTGTGTTGCAGACTATTTTATAATAAAGTGCCTGGTTAATTGCAATAACACATACTTGTTTCCAGTGCCTTTATTTTATAGTAATCTTTAATATTCTGCCCAGCTGGGTTATGTCATGAAAAACAGTTACCTTCACAGGGCAAATGCATTCCATGGCATTACCTAGCAAGATGCACAGGCTGGAAATTTTATGCTTTGGAGGTCACAGCTAGTATATGACAAAATTTCGCTGTCCAGACTGGATTTTTTTAGTGCACGTTTTATGTATTTTGAATCCTTGGTGATATCTTTAATACAGTGTTATATGGAACAATGCTGGTGCATTTATACCTACAAAACAGAAGTTCTTGATTAGAAAATATACCACATATATTGCTCTTCTGTTTGCATTTACTGTTTTTTATTTAGGTTTATCTTTGCCTCTATAAAAAAAAACTTTTTACAAGGGCATATAGTGATAGGACAAGGGGGATGGCTTTAAACTGAAAGAGAGTAGGTTTACATTAGATATAAGGAGGAAATTCTTTACTGTGAGAGAGACGAGACACTGGAACAGGTTGCCCCAAGAAGTCATGGAATTCTCATCCCTGGCAGACCACCACCACACAGGGACTGGTAACACAGGTCCTAGAAGCTGATTTGCCACATTGCAATCTCTCCATTAATAACTCAGTTCAAAACATACAGTCAGTCATACAGGTTTGTCTTTTTCTTTCTAAAAAGTGGCACTGTTAAAATAAAAAAGGCATAGAATAATTTTTCCTACTAGAGATGAAGAACAACCTAGTTGCTTCTCAGCCAGCAGCTCAAACATTTAAACACCCCTGTGCCCCACAATGGTCTGCAGTGATACTGGTGTGAGGGAGCACTGTCATGGACAACATCGTTTAAGAGAGGCCTGGCTTGGCAGGAAGCTTTATTTGGTTGGATCATGGGGCAGGAAGAGACAACAAGATGCTCCAATGTGAAGAACGGAGGGAATGTAAACTTCATTGATGACTTGGATTAGAACATATTTTCTCTGGATCACAGTGGATACTGCGAGAGTGCAAACTGCTGATATGGTCTCAGTTGAAGGTGCAATTTTATAAAAATGAATAAAGTGTAATGCCTGCAATTCCCTGAGCTGACATTTGTCTTTACCTGTAATAACCGGCTGAGTTGTTAGTTTTGAACAGTAACTGCTGTTTCTGAAGGCTGTTTGTAAACAGATACAAATACAATGCAGAAATCACAAGAGAAGACTATTTCATTTAAAATATCCTCCACTCAAGAAGGCAAGTGAAAGTAAAGCTGAAACTAGTATGAGCTTTAGCAAATGGAGAATTTGGATATTTGAAGAAAAGCTGGCAGTCTCTACTAGAAACTCGAACTTGCTGCGGTGGCTCATGATAATTGGAAAAACAGTACTGTGAGCATACATGTAAGCAATAGATTAACCATAGCAAGGGGATGCATTTGTTGCTCTAAAATTAGATGTTTATACTGTTGGGAAGGTAGAAATATTGCATAAAGCTTCTGCACAGAACTGTTCTAAAAGAGATAGTGTCCTATGTTATGGTGGTAAAATATGTTCTACTTAATTGGTAGCAAGGCAGTGCGTTAAACAGCAGCTGCTGACAGGAAGTGTTTGGGTGGATTGAATAACTTGAATCTGGAAATATTAAATGAATTACCTTAGGAGGGTTCTGAATTTGTAATGTGGATTTTCAGCAATCATTGGACAGCTGGGAAAATTGCATAAGATTTGAGGGTTGGGGTGAAGGTTAAGGTTGCCTCAGCATTTAAGAGAAGGTAAGTAGAGAGAAGTAAACCACTCAGTGTAAGTGAGCTTTCTGGAGGGTTTATATGGGGAGGAAGAGGGGTAGGGCTGAACATTGTTTCCTCATGTGTGTGCAGGGCTAGGAGGGAGGAATTTGGCAGAAGTCCCTCTGGAAGATATTGTAGTATCTGCAGGCGTTCATCAAACACATCCTTCTCCCCACTGCTTCCTTTTAGGAGGGAATTACGGACTGTGAATCTCAATTTGAGGTAGGTATCAAGTTTTCCAAGTTAGGAAACTGCCTGTGTTCCAGAAGGAATATGCTTTTCTCTCTGCATCTTTCCTCTATTTATTGTGTTGTGATAATTTGGATATGTCCTTATTTATAGTGCTGTTGCAATGCTCCTTTTGATGCTTTTTCTTTCAAGAGGCAGTTGAACTCCTTGTCTTAGGGATTTGGATTCTGCTTAAGGCTGTGCCTGTGTCCTTTATTAATTTACCCCCAAAGAATCCATTCTGTCCTTACAGCCTAGACAATTCTAGAAAAGTCTTGTCTGTCAGAACGGTATGAGTTCACCGCAGAGTATAACAGAAAAATTCGTTGGGATATGGAGATAAAAAATTCAAAGAGAAGTGAGCAGAAGTAGAAAGCCTTTAGTATGTAAGACTTCAATATGTTCAGTTACATATTTACATGCACATCCTTCCCCAAGTAACAGAGTCAGTCATGCAATTCAAGTGAAAATAGTATTTATAAGATGCTGTGCTTCACATGAATAGGAAGGGGAAGGTTGTAGCACTGATTTTACTGGAATAAGGCTACAGTTTTGGCATAGGAATTTGGGTAGAGGTCGCATCAGAAGGGCACTGACAACAGAAACACAATGTTCATGTGAGAGTTGCTCAACACGTTTTCTACATGCCTCCTGCAGCTAAACAGTAACTTCAGATAGTGTGTTTCCCTGCTATCATTTGTAGTTGCTGGAGCTGAAAATTGTCTTCCCTCTGAGTCCTGTCCTAGGCTGAACTGCATGTCCAGTGACCCACAAAGTCTCCCTTCTCCTGAATGGGAAGGGGCAGCTCAAAAGTCAACAAGTCTGTGAGTGCATCGCCAGTGACGCAAGATGGATTTGTAGACTTGAAAGTCTTGTATATGTAGTTTAATTATTTACTCATCTTGTGTCTGCATTGATTGGATGTGTTTTTGTGTAACAACAGAATTCTGACCAGATGCTTAAACCTGCTGCATGTACTTGCATATGTGATTTTAATGAACATCTAGCTATCTGTGGTCAGAGACATGATTATAAAGTATATGCTTTAGTTCGTATTCATACCTTTTATATAAATACATGCACAAAATTTAAATTCTTTTTTTCGTTATTCATTCTTTTTGGAAGCATTTTTTACTCATAACATTTCAAATTTTATTTGCAACAGGCAGAGTAGCGATTTAAATCTTCCATGTCATTGTCAAAAGCTTTAGGGTGCATAGGTGCAGAACATCAAGAACTCTGATTAGACCTTTGTAACTTGTGAGGTTTCTGTTGACAGAAGTTGTGTTTCCCTGCTGGAGTACCTGACTTGAAGGGCTGGGGCCGTTGGCAGGCTACCATGGGGCATTGCTGGACATCCTCATGCAGACCATTGACCAAGTCCATGGCTCTCGGAAATAAAAAGATGCATAGCCCAGGCACTTCACTGTTTTGCAGGTGATACTGCTTATCCCACATAGGGGAAGAGCCAGGAGGCTTTGGCCTGGCAACTGCTATACACACAGACTGTTTACCCTGTGCATTTCTTTCTAGCAGGCAGTCACAGTGTGCTTTTCATCATTTGGTGTAGACTGATTGGATACCACTGTTTCTATTCCCATCACTGCTTCAGGAGAATCTTACTGTCCAGACCAGTTCACAGAATCATAGAATCATTAAGGTTGGAAAAGACCTCCAAAATCATTAAGTCCAACCTTAAGTGGGAGGGAGAGGGGATATTTCTATCTTGCAGCTTAATTTTTTTTAGATTTTTTTTTTTATTTTTTTAAGATTTAGTATCCCCCTCACACAATGGGGCTGGTACTAGGTTAGTGTGCAGGATTTAGGACAGGATGCAGGAGGGACAATTTTATTAATGTAACTGCAGTGAAATAGGTTGAAATTAAAAGAAACATAGCACTACTGTTTATATAGTAATAGTGATTGGCTGTAAGTGTATGAACTGCATATACCAGGTTGGTTGATAATACCATATGACAGCTCATCGTGCCTAACAAAGGCTTATTTTTGCTTGCAGAGCAATACAATGGGTATTTATTCTTTTGAATGAGGAAAGTTGCTATTAGCCCCTTGACATGAAAATACTTCTGGTGATACAAGGCTTGCGTCCTTGCTTCTGTGCTTTTGTTTGATCAGATGGAAGAGTGCTACCAGAGGTACGCACATGCAGGGAAGGGCAGCTAACAGCACACAGATTGCCTGTACCCAAGGTGGGTAAACTTTCTCCTCTTTCATGGGGAAGCCTTCCTATGGAGACAAAAAAGCAAGAGAAAGAAATAACTGGTAGGTACACTTATATTTGCATTTTCTCACAGTTTTAGTAAGGATAGCGACATTTTACTCTTGGTCAACAATAGCACTCAGTGGCCATGTCCTCTGTAAACCCTTCGAGTCTAAAGATGGCTGTAAGTATTCTACAGTTTCAAAGACTTATAGCTGTAATTTTGACACATTACTAGGGATACAAGGATGGCCCAAGGAGTTATTAAACCTTCACCCTCTCTTGATTAAAGTCTGTTTATACGCGTTAGTATTCAAAGCTTATCTGGTGTCAGCAGTGACTGAGCATGTTCTTTGTCAAACAGGCAAGATTTCTGTCAGAGATTTTGAGGGAATGATGGTAAAGCAATTTCTGCAAGTCTGTGGCTGTGGGTTTTATTTGGGATGATACATACTTAGTGGCATTTGGAGTAATCCTCATACAGTTTAGGACCAGAATCAATCTCCAAACCCCTACACAGGTTGTATTTGAGAGGGATCCAAGAAACTGCAGGTGGCATGAGACAGTGACACCCAGATCAATTGTTCTGAGCATTGACATGACTTTGTTGCTGAATTAACCAACACTATTCTCAGAGCACTGCTCCCTTCCTGTCTGCCTGTCAGAAGTACACATTCATGTATTCTTCAGGACCGCAGTGATGTTGGTAGTTGTCACTGAGAACTGTTTTCATCCCTGACATCCTTTTTGCAGTTCTGCTCATGCATTTCTTCTACCTCTGAACCCTATATAGGTATGGAAAGTCTGTGAGACATTTCTCTTCAACACGTCTCAGCATTACACACACCTATAACAAATATGAAGCACATAGTGTGTGGGACACCTCAAGAATAGACACATTTTAGTATATGTAACCTCTTTGCATACTGGAGCCTTCTCATTCTGAGCACTACATCACTGCAGGCTGCATTCCATAGGTAAGCAGTAGATAGCAATGATTTTAAAGGATCTGGTAAGGGAGAAAAATAGATAATTCTTGCTTTTATTAGAGGTTCTGAAAATATTTGGGAACATACATATTTAGGGTTCCAGGCTGCGTAACTTGGCGGCCTCAGCATCTGAAGAGCAACAAAGGCCATGAAGACAATTAGCAGGAGCAGAGGGCTGATAAACCTCCATGTGATTTGCCAGTAGAGATTGAGTTTTCGACCAGTCATCCATTTCACATCTTTACTGAACCTTGTAACAGAGAGCATGGTTATGATGATAGATCTAGAGTGGTAACAGTTTCACTTTTTATATTTTTCTGTAAGTTTTAAAGACATGGCACAGCACCCTAAATCACTTCTATTCCATACCATTCTTTAATAACTCACTATTGACTTGAGTAAATAATAATATCAATGAAGTAGGTCTTTACTGATCCCTCCAGAGATCAATGACCAGTTTGCACAGTCAGTTTACATTACCAGAGCACCTAGTCTAAGGTTTCTAAGTACAAATAAATGATAATATTTCAGCAGTTCTGTAGACTATTCAAATATTTAAAATAAAAAGGCAAAATTATCAAGGGAACAAACAGTATGTTAGGAAGAAGTCTGAATTAACCAGCACCAAATCAAATCAGGTCAGGGACAAAATTACTGTAACCTGAGTTGTATTTATGTCTTATGAAAAAAAAATCCGTCTGTTTCCAACATACCTTTTAATTTTGTAGACATACACAACTCCAATTACTTCAAAGAAAGCAATGACTAGAAGAGGCACTGAGCCTGCATATCTGTCAAAAATGTCAATCCAGTAACTCCCTGAACCCAGTGTAAAACAGAGAGCAATGAGGAAGCTAATTAGACATATTATACCTGAAGAAAAAAAGATATCTTTGTTACTGGAGTATTGAACTTGGTAAATATATTTTTGTTCTAAATTATTTTTGCTCTTGTTCTAGTAATTTTTATTCTCTCTCCTTCAATGGAGCTACAACAAGCTATTTTTACCTTACAGGAGTTAATATCACTTCCCGAATTCAGTTTTCCCTTGTGTGTTGGCCAAGAGGCACGACTGTTGCAGGAGGAATGCACTTGTGTGACTCGGAACATCCTCCTGTCGTTAATCCTTTAGAAAGCCTGGGCTGTGCTGTGCTGTTGCCCAATGTTAATTTTTGGCTGATGCAGTGAGTTTCAAGTGCCCTCATTTCCATGCAGCCATAGCATCAAAGCACAGGCAGCTGTCACCTCAGAAGTGTAAAGACTCCCTGAATTTCTGTCCCCCATTTCCTCAAAGAACCCAGAGCTAGAAAGGTATATGTCCCTTATGTTCCAGTGTGTATGGTTTGTGTTTCAGCACACTCTTCTGTACAGTCAGTTCTGCTTTGGCAAGATTTAGATTTGTGGTAATTGTGCGAAAAGTGGGAAAGAGGAAAAGTGTTGCTGGACGCAGACAGGGGCTGCACATCAGTTTGTATGTCTTCCTAATGTGTTATTAATTTCTTCTGGCTCTGAGATGGCCTTTGGTTCAATTCTGTAAAAAGTTGGCTCCAGACATTTTTTTAATTTTACTTAAGGAAGTTTACAATTGGAAAATCAATTTCAAACTAATATGATTACCTCATCAGGTTGTGAATAAATTTGTTTCTGCATAAAAAGTTGTAAAATGAAGGATATAATTTAAATGCCACAGGAAAACTCTAAAAAAGGCATGACATCAGTATTTCTCATGAGAATTTAAAAGGGCACATTGTGGAAGCATTAATCCAAACTTCCAGAAATTTTTCTGGACTGATTTTTCTGGACCAGTTTCACAGTAGAATCTCTCAGACCCTCATCAAGCCTGGTTCTTAAGGAGCAGGTTGGATTTAGTACCCACCTCTGGTTGAAAAGATCCCAGTTGTGGTGCAAGAACAGGATCACACACACTGGTTCCTCATTTTCCAAGTCGTAATTTTCTACTCTGGCATGTTTATAGTAAGCATCATAAACCTGAATGAGGGGTGAATGACCTCTCCTACAATTGTGACAGAAATTCATGTGCAGGTGGTTATGGCAGACCAGCCGATGTCACTGGATGCATTAAAGTGATTTGTATTGGTGCCAAAGGCTTAAGGGAAGACAAAGCTCTTCCTGATGTCTACAGCAGTTCAGAGTGAACTTGACTCCAGGAATAGCAATTTGGCGAGCTTTCTCAGACTGAAATGGCTACCTTGCAAACTTAAGAAAAAAGATGGCAAAGGCAATATAATAGTAACCTGACAACTTCTACCATAACTGCTACCTCATCTCTGTGCTTATCTTCTGCAAACACAGTTCACTGCCCTTACTTACACTGTGAGATTAAGCTAAATTAATATTACAAATTATTAATTCCTCTGTGATATTTACTAAGCAGCTGGTAGTTTGTGCATCTATAAAGAAGCCACCCTCTTCAAACAAAGCAAATACCTTACCAGATAATAACTCTTTAGGTGTGGATTTAGATACAATTTGAAGTTCTAGAAGAGGAGTGAAGACACCCTCGATGTTTCCAAACATCGAAGAAAGGCCCAAGCAGAACAACATTATGAAAAACAGGATGGCCCAGGCCTGGGAGCCTGGCATGAGAATGATAGCTTGAGTGAAAACGATGAAAGCCAAGCCAGTTCCTGATACACTCTGCAGAATTCACAAAAAGATAAAAATACACATTATAATGTCATTTCTCATGCATGAGTAATTATGACACACTTCTGTCCTTCTCTGGAGTCAAGGGTGCTGGTCAGCCTGTGGGGCTCTGTGGCAGCTACAGCTGAGAAAATGTGCACTGGGGAGTGTTTGTGGGGAGTTCAAATTTTCTATCAGATGTGTCTAGAGAGTCATGGAGCAGAACTTTGGCTTGCACAGAGAGATAGGTCCACAGTAAAGCAGATCTGATAGTTGTAATTGAAATAGCAATTGTTTTGCTAACACCATTTTAAGTGTGCTTTTTAAAAAATCTCTGATGGTTCTGGAAAGGAAGAGATGTAAATAAGGATATGATTGTCACACTAGCAGCAAGACAAATGGTGAATTATTGATTACAAAGCACCCCATAATTGCAAAGGCAGAAAAGACTAATAGGGGAAAAAACCAATTTCAAACAAATTTCTTTTATTTTAGTCTCCCAAGGACAAGGATATTTAAATATAAGCATTGAAAGACACTAATGTTGCCATAATTTGGAAGTAAGATACTTCAAACCATAAATCAGAAATGGGTGCCATCAGAAGAAGTGAGACAAAACAAACTGACTTGTGCCGGGGCTGGAATGTCCTCCTTGGACTTCTCCGTCATGTGAGTAAAATATGGAATGAGGTAGGACAAGTAGACAGAGAAGAAACATCCATGTGTAGTGATAGGGGAAGTGTTTTAGGAGGATTAGAAAATAAGGAAAGGAAGAGGATCCTAATGTATTTTGGTGGCAAACAGTGTACATTGTTATAGGTTTTTTGATGCTTTCCTAAGATTTAGGAAATATAGATTTAAGAAGTATAGATTTAGGAAGATTCCAAAATATAGATTTGGGAAATTCCCATTCAGCATCCTTTTTCTGTAATCTTTCATCTTGATGTGTGTCCTCTGTTATGCTTATTCCTATAAACCAAAGTATGACTGAATGTACTGTCCATGGTAGGAGCACCCTTGAAGATTAGTTTTGTGATTATTATGTGTAATTTTGCATGCTGTAACAGACAGCTTTAAGTTCAAACTACCCTACAATGGTATTGTTATTTCAAATGTTGAAAAATTGATTTGTTCAGTGATTATATATAATATATTCATTACAAGTAGAGCAAAATACAAGCACTTAAAAGAAAAAGGAAGATACCAATCCTTCTACATTATTTTGTTTAAGGATTACCTGTTGGAAGCAGTTATGGTACCTGATCAAGAAATTCTTGAAGGTCACAGCTCTTCAGTTTGAGTCCAGCAATTTTTTCTGGATGTGATGAATTCAGGAAACTAATCCAGGAGGTATAGTTTTGTCGCATGATGCTCTCTTCCGGAAGATCAAATTCATTAATGATACTCATAATGTTCCTGCCAGAGAAGCCAACATAGCATTAGTTTAAATGTTTGCAGATTATGTGACTGGCAATGCTATGCCGTGTATCCAGATGTTACTCAAAAGTTGTGCTTACTTCCTGTGCTGCTTTTTACAATATAAAGGAAAATAAAGGACAGGTTTTTTATAAAACAGGAAAAAATAGAATATTTAAAGTCTTCTCTTTCAGATACAAACTCTGAGTACTTTATGCAGATGCAGTCTCTAAAACATTTTTATTTTATCAGGTTCTCCAGATCATTTCAGCCACTCGTGTTTAATAACTTAGTGAATCTGGTGGAATAGAAAAATGTGTTGGTTTCTTACTACTTCTAGTGCTAGTCTGAGATTGAGATGTGAACTTTGATGCACTACTTGAAATGGGTATATTTATGTGGTTATGGTTATATATTTATATGGTTATAATTCCTCTTGCTTCTTATGCATGCTACCCTTGACCATTCTTTCCTCAGTGCCATAATACTTTCTGTTTTTACATTGGACTTCTCCATACATGCTTGTCATCCATAGATGCTTTTCCTTTTTATTGAAAATAAATTCTCTAAATGCATGTTTTTCAAATAACGCATTATCTATTTAAGCATTGAAACCACAGTATAACATTGGGAACACAACTTTCTCACCTGTCCAAGCAGTCCCAATAGGCTGTGGTTGCTTTAAACCCCAAAACAGAAAAGACTGGAATGGAAGCGTAGAGGGATGTCATGCTGTTCACAATTGCTACTGTCACAGCATCCTTTTCACAGTCGTTTCTAGGGATAGCATTCAAACAAGTGAAACAACTTAAAAAGGGCAGTATTTTATCTGTGATTCAGTTATTTCTGCAAGCATTTTAATTTTTTAGATTCCCTCCCCACCTCTTTCTGTTAGAAGATCTATTTGGCCTTTTAGAAAGACAGCATCTTTTAAGATCCTTTAGAAAAATTAAAATAATTTATAAATATTCTAAAGAAAGAGTTTTGAAAATTAAAAAAAAAAAAAAAAGGCACAGAATGCAGCAAGAATTTAGCCAGTTAATAAAGGCTGCAGTTCTACTTACTTTGGCAGATTGTAGCTTGAGAATGCAATAAGCCCTCCAAAAGCCAAAGAGAGAGAGAAGAAAATCTGGGTAGCTGCATCAAGCCATACGCGGGGATTTTTCAAAGTGTTCAGCTGAAATAATTGGAAGAAATGCATGTATTAGACTTAAATTAAAATTGCTTTTTCTCTTCCAGTTCTCATAGCTCATCTCATTTCAGTTCTGAAATTTTGAGGAAATATAAGGAAAAAGAAGAAACTGACAGAGTGAAATTTGAATTTTGATGTAAGGGCAACCAACGTCATACAGGAAGCTAAATGACAAAGCAAGTGGATTACAGAGAATGTTAAGCAGTTTTAAATAGTGGCACTAAGGATCTTGCCATTGAAATCTGTCTAAAAGAAAGAAAACATCATCATGGCTAGGCTTCCCAAATGAAGATTTGGGAAAGATAAAACATAAGTAGTGGGCAAAATGTAAATGTCATCAATAAATATTAGTTTCCTGCAGAAAGTGGCATGATATATTCGTACCCTACCAGGTGAATTACTTTCCAATCTGTTATCAAGGAGGGGGAACAGAAACCAGTATTAGTTAAGAATGTTTTAGAAACGAGATGGTTTAAAAGTAATACTGGGACTGCAGAGTATTTCACTTTGTTTTACATCAGAGTCAAGTCTGCATCCCAGTCTTGCAGGACAACTTGTGTGTCTTCTGTGTCTACCTGATCCTGGTACATGACTGAGAACATTTGCAGGAGTGAGAGGTAAGTGCGTCAAAAGACCCTTAATAGCATTTTGGGTTTCTCTGCAGCTGGCCCAGGCTTGAAGAGCAAGAATAATGGATTCACCTCAGTGTGGATGGATGCAGGTAATGCCATTACTGCAGATGCCCTCCCCACTGGGATATCAGTGCTTTGGCCACAGCAAAAGCAGTGTAACCCTTTGTACAACATAGCATAACAAGCAGATATGTGTAACCACTGCTGGCTGAAATGCTTCAGCTTAGGCAAACCTTTCTAGAGGATTAATTTGAAAGATCATAACCAAACCCTCAAAGGCCAGAGTGCTCACTGGCAGGGCCTTGTGCAGATAAAGATCTAGTTTGCTATTGCAGTGCAGAAGCTTGGCACTCACATTACTGTATGACCTTCACAGTTTGATTAAGTGCTGCCAAGTCAGTGCTGACAGATGCAACTCCTACAAGTCCAGATTTTTGACTGGGGACTTTGGCAGATGAGTCTGGAGATAGTTGTGACCGGTGGTAGGTGCAATGCATTTATTGACTCTAAAAGATACTAATCATCCCCCAAACTTAAAGAAATAGCAGGTGGGCAAGCATGCCATGGCAATGTCATTATCTGCTCTTAAGCAAATTAATAAAAATATTATTTATATTTTAAGTAATATGGCATACGGATTTTACAAGTATCTTCAGAAGAAAAAATGTGCTGATGCCAGAAACATGCAGATGAAGATATACAACCAGAATGTCAATGAATGAACACAGGAGTAATGAGGAAAGGAAGCATAATTGCTACCTCATGGGTGGTAAGATTTTTAGATACTGGAACACATGTAACACAGACAGAAATTTTCTTAAAACAGAATTAAAAATTACTGGGTCCCTGTGATGTGTAAAAACTGATGCTTTTCTCATAAGGCCAAAAAGTAACACTGTACTTAAAGGCAGCATTTCATTAGGGCAGTGCTTTTGCTCTCCTTAATACCAGAAACAGTATGGACAGTCCAGGTACCTGTAAAGAAGCTTTAAATGTCCATGTATAGTAATATATCATAACTGCAAAACAGAGGAAAAAGTTACAAATTGCCTCTGTGGATAGAGGATTTGGTGCCTGTGCTGCCTTTTTCTTGGCTATTCTCACTGCTTGTTAAATAGCTGCAGAGCTCTGGGCACAGGCATCAGTTGCCCAGTCAAGTTCTCGGAATTGTTCATTGCCAAACCTCCAAATATTTACAGTTTCTGAAGCTCTTTCAAATGTGAAAGGACTGGACAAGGAGACATTTGTTTTCCTGAGCTCACACAGATGTCCACTGAAGGTGTGCCATGCAGACTGTTGCTGATGCTTGATGGGATCTCTTTTCTGCTGCCTCTCATTACTTATTTTTTTCAAAAACCTTTCCAAAAGTCTGTTCCAGCTCCTGTGTTGCTTCATCTTTGACAACTTCTGCTTTCCCTTCAAGTGTCTGTGAACATCATTTCAGTCTTTTTTATTTTCTTGGCAGCTTCATTTTCCAGGTAGCCAAGAGTTTAGAAAGAGTGAGTGAATTGTCAGACTTTTTTTTCCACGTCTGAAAGTCAATGAAAAGAAGTATTCATTATTTGTTCTAAAATTTAGGGTATGAAAGTAAGTCAGATGGCAAAAAACCTATGTATTTCTGCATAACCTGCCACATTTTAAATCCATACGCGTGCAGTTGTTATTTCTGATATTTTTTAATGAGAACTGAAATACAAACTTAGAAAGTGAATAAACTTAAACAGTGGTGGTTTGGAAAAAAAAATTCATTTGGGTGATTATGATCCTGAAACTGGGTAAGATATAACTTTTAGCACTAGGCGTTACTTCTTTCACAGATTTTCAAGAACAGTGAGGTGCCACAGTTACCAGAAGGTGGACGTGGCAGGTGTCAGAAACTACAATTTGTGCTGCACTGCAAAGTAGGAAAAAAGTTGGAAAATACTGCCTCCAGTGAGTGGAAAATGTCAAGAAGGTTGATTTTATTTATTTATATATTTATTTTAAAAGCAAAATGAAAAAAGCAGTAGGTGAGCTAATTCTTACTTTATTTTGCTAAAACTTTACCAACTTCCTGCAAAAAGGTAGGAAAAGAAGAAGGAAACAGCACACACTTAAGAAACATGCTTTACAATTTTGTAAGCAAGTGTGGTCTGGATGGACCAGGTAAATCTCTACAAAAAAAAAACCCCAAAAAACTCCAACCCACAAACCAATAGCCCCCCTGTACAACTCATTTCAGGACATTCCTTGTGGGGAAGCATAACAGGAAACACAACTGTGTTTATTGATGGCAGGGGTGAGAATAGTTCCTCATGAAAAAGGCTAACAGGAAAGAAAATATTGGTACTGCAGTTATGGGCTAAAGGGAAGATGAGAGAAGGGTAGTGTTATGCTTACTGTCTTTTGAAGTCCTTGAAGTGCCACAATCCTCCATAGCAGTTGGTAGATTGGTTTAACAAAGCCATCTCTCTCTCTCTTACACCATAACTTTCTATGCAATGGCAACACCCATAGCAGGTATCAATTTACCAGGCTGTTGCATCAGCTTTCCCATGTTTGTAGATGAGAACATAGTTTCATCACTAGAACCATCTTCAGATGACTTTTCAAGTACGTCCCCAGGATCTGCTTCCTGAAACTAGCTAACCATTAACTGCAAGTTGACTGCAGATGGATTTCCACTCTGACTTCTGGCACCAGTCTACAAATCCATCCGGCTCTTTTTATGATGATCCACTCCTCCTTAGCACTGCAATACCTTCAAGCTTTTGGGAATATACACAAATCTATTTTCTGCGTTAAGTTCAGTGTGCAGTGATCCCAAGTCCCAGAGATGCCTGAGCTCTACCAGAGAGAAACCCAACAGCCAGGCTGAGACCAAATGACAATAGGCTAAGCCCTGTTCCTGGTTGTGTCTAACCTGCTTTCTTCCTTAAGATGTTGCACCAAGCTTTTATTGTCGCGTCTGGGCCCTAAAAAAATGCAAGTGTATGTCTTGATCTCCTGTAATAACCAAGGTTGTCCTTCTTGAGCTCTGGTAGCATTTAGATGGCTGTCCATGCCACTGGGCTTCCAGAGAGGGGGATAAAGAGATGTCTTCTCTGAGCTTTCTCCTGCTATTGTCCCTTTCCAGCCTGGCATGTAATATATCTCTGGGCTACCTGACTTATGTTTTCCTTAATGCCTGTTTTCTTGTTGTAGAAAAGGAAAGGGAAAAACCCCGTGCTCCTGTAGCTGGAAGTGCTTCTGTGGCTACAGAACCAGTGGATGCTCTGAGACCACATATTAGTGGGTGCTGCTTTCGTCCTCTGCACTCACCGTTTCATGGAGCTTTTTAGCACAAAGGCAGAGCTGTGAGGAGCTTACAGTTTGTAGCAACCATTCAGCGGGACAGTCTGACTTTTCATTTGGGAATGCCACTAAGGAGAGTGTGAAAAGGGCCTTCTGAAACGAGGGATCTGGAACTCCCATCCCTTTGAGAAGATGAGAAAAAATGGGAGAGGCATTCTTCTCTAGCCGTTGTGTCTTTTAGGAACAGCTATGATGGAGGGGAGGAAACTGCAGTTAAGGAGAAACATGGATAGGAGAAAATTACTTTCAACCTTAAAAAAACCCCACTTTGCAGTGTGTAACTCCTCATTAGTTTTCCTTGTGAATTCTTAAAAGATTAAAGTTGTGTAAATTCTATAACCTTGGCATGAAAATCTCATCTTTATCATGTGCTTGTGAAGTTTACTTACACATTCAAGACTGAGGCACCCATAACATACTTAATTTTCCAGTATTTTCTGATATGCTTACTACTGAATTGTTAAATACTTTGATGCTTTTCATTTCTGCCGAAGTATATTAAAATACTAAATCACTTCATCTCAGAAAAAAGAGCTTAGCTGAGCTCTTGGATAGAGAGCTAGATCAAGAGTTGCTGGAAAATGAGTATACAGTGTGAAATCTGAGGGGGAGAAAAAGGAAAAATATTTCTGACTATAGCAGCAATACTTACATTAGGGGTGAAGAGGTAAGCCAGACCGTCTGTAGCTCCTGGTAGAGTGAGTCCTTGAATAAGGAATATAGTCAGGACCAGGTAAGGAAATATTGCTGTTACGTAAATTGCCTAAAGTAGGAAAGTCAGAAGACAAACAGTTACTGGTAATAACTTCAATAAAACCTATTAAAGTTATTGCAACATATAATCCTAATAATATTTGAAAAGACAGCTACAGATGAATACTGCCATCTTTAAAACAAGCAGGGTGTACTTTTGCATAATATATTTCTAAGAAAATTGCCCTTAAAACTGTGTGAGAGAAGGCTGGTAGAGCAGAAGCATTTGCAATGGAGAAAGAGAGAAGCATCATTTTAAGCCACCTGTACTGCTGTTCTGGCTTCGTTGGACAAGGAGCACAGTGAAATGGTGCTAGTGTGGTAAATAGGGAAGGCTTTCCCTGGTGGTAAAAACTTGGTATCTGGAGAGCAAGATGCAAAGGTTGGGGTAATGCACTTCTCTGTCCTGTGTACCTTTCCTGTGGTTTCAATTCCTCGGATGGTGCAGAGATAGACAATTGCCCAGCAAGTTGCTAAGCACAAAATGAGCCACCACTGTAATGTGCCACTCTCACCGATATCAGGTGTTATGTTCAAAGTCTTCCTATACCAAAAATAATTTACTGCAGTGCTTTCATAGCATTCTTTGTTGAACCCTGAAAAAAAAATGTGGCAAGTATTAGAATGAATTGCGGACTGCCAAATCAAATTCAGAGGTGGACTTTCTGCACTGTGTGTAAGGTGCAGCAAGACAAACTCTGTCACATCAGCCTGAGACTCTGAGACTTACTTGAGACCTTCACCAGAACATCACCAGTGTTTCTCCAGGGGATAACTTTCTAAATAGAAACAGTGTTGTATGCAGTGCAAGGTAAAATCTAAATTAATGGCACTGGAGACTATGGAATTCTTAGCTGTATGTCTGCAAGTTGGTGGAGCCATAACAGACTTCAGGCACCTGAGGATACTTCTAAGGCCAGGCTCCCCTGGCGATGTCATGGCCCTGTAGTGGGGAAAGACCCAGGCATTGGCCTCTTTGGCTTATGTTTCCAGGAGTTCTGTTAGTGGGAACCTCAGGCGCCTGCACCCAGGAGAGAGGACATTCCCCAGCCACGTTCTGTGCCTGAAGAAAAAGGAATGGGGAACATGACATGCATCATGTTACCCCTCTGTCTATGAGCAACCTAAATCCCTGAAGAGGGGGTTGACAGAGAATCCTCAGGAAACCCATTGACCTGCTGTCTTTAGCTGGAAACCTGAATTCCCTGGTTGCTGCAGCCCCTGCCGTTGCTCCCAGCCAGAAATGGGTGTGTCCTGAGAACACTCAGTGCATTTCCAAAAGCTGGTTACACAGTCTGGCAGCACTAATAACTGTCCCATAATCAGGAGGTCAAGCACACATCAAGACTGGGGGAGTCTGCCTTCACCTAAGCTTAGTAGATGGGAACAGCTGCTACTTGTCTCAGAAAGCAGCTCCTTGGAGAGAGCATTGGCTTTGTGATGGAGAAATGCAGGTTCTTCCCGTCTTGGCACTGGTATTGAAAAATCTGTCCTTAAGGGATTTCTTCATTATTTTCAAAAGATGCTAAACTAAAAATGCAAGGTTTTGTATATCAAATATTGATGAAATAGTTTATCTGCAAAGCAGGTTTGGAAAACATCTATTTAACTCCCTAATTGGGACATCTGAACCTGAGAAATGAAAGAATCCTATTTCTTAAAGCCCAAATAATTTTGTCTACTTCTGTAAGAAATACGGGTTATGTCTTATTGTCTTCCTACTCTAGAACAGTCCTATGGCCTCCAAAAGAAGGTTGACTTTTTTATGTTTTGTCTCAGCCTCTAACGCAGGTTATGGTTCTTGCTGTACCTGGACCTTGTTTTCTCTCAAACTGAGCAAAAAAGAAAGCTGAAAAACAGTTTTAAAGACCCGAAAGAAGTTCTCCTTGTTCTGCTTAGCTACACTGTCTGTCTTTGGTCTTACTGAAGTTTTGTAACAGGTAGCATGACTTTGGTCTGAGCACCAAAGAATCCCACTTTAAGTAGTTATTCTGCTTATTTAGTTGTCTTTTTTTTTTTTTTAACACTGTTATTTTGCTTTCCATTTTGAAATCAAGCAAAATGGCTCATGGATTTTCTGGATCTTGTTGTTTCTGTGAGGAGGATGAATTTGAGTAGGCTATTGTGACTCTTGGACCTTTTTAACGTGAAATCAAACCAGGACTTGTGCACAACTCAAGGCCAAATCAAATGTGGCTTTTCAGGATTTCTCAGTGAGCCCACACTGATGTTTCTGATCCTCCTTTTGCCAGCAGTGATCATGGTATTGTAGTTACCTGTTCTGTTTGCATTTAGAGGACAAACACTCCAGGGAAGAGGTTCTTGGAAGGAGTTTATGAGATACCACATCACCCAGGTTAAAACAGTGTTGTAGTATAAGCTCACCAGAATGGACACCACCCACGAACCAACACCTGCAGAAAGCACAAGATCTCAGCTTAGAAAAGCTTTGGAAAAAATTATCAGTCAGTCACAGCACTAGCTCTTGGAAGCTCACGCTTCCTATTGTTTCAAGATTTTCTTGTCCATCCTCCCCTACCCCTCCTAGAGATTTTCCCCTGAAAGATGGGCATTTGTGTCCTCAGTAGCCAAACATTAGTACACAGTCTCCCAGCTCATCAACCCTGTTCCAAGAATGCTGACACTCTCTACTTACATAGAAGATTAGGATTGAAACCTTTGCCCTAGTACATAATACATTGTTTTCTATAACATGGGACAACTTTAATAGACACCAGAAGAGACTGAAGTTTTACAGCATGCTGTAGCTGCATGAGGCCACTCTTCTGTCCCAAATCATGCATGTATGCCCCAAATTGATCTCTGTTTTGCTCCTGTGATAAGGAGGGAAGAATATCACCACATTTTCTGCTTGCTTGTACTTTTACAAAGGACATGCTTAATTGAAGGATGTGGGCTTAGCTGGAAGCACCACCCCATTGCTTGGTATTTCTTCCTTATTACCCTTGGCCCTTAGATAACTTCCCTCACCCATCCCTTCTTCTCCCACATGTGCCCACAGGCATGGCTGTCAGTGCCAAGCCCATTTCAAGCACCTGCTTAGTGCGGGGCATGATCCAGCAGGGCTGGCTGGAGCATCCAGGGGCTTCTCCTTGCCCTACAGGCACAAGGGTGCTATCTCAAATACCTAGTAGAGTCAGTGCTTCAGTCCTCATGGTGGCTGTTCCCAATCACTTCTACAGCCTAAAAATTCATACAGGACACAAGATGTGTTTTTTCAGTGTATATTCAATAAATAGAAAAGAATTGCCAGTACAGTCCTACACACCAATCTGATGCACACTGCCATGTGGATTGTACCATGTGCCCAGCCGTGTTAATAATGTCCCTTCAGTAGCCCCACTGTGGCCCCCTCTTGTGCAGGGCAGCTTTCCCAGGTGCTTTAAACTCATTAGGAGGTGGCCAGACCCTGTTCCTGGTTTCATGTCTTTCTGTCCTCCCTTCAGTCTTACTATTTATGGACAGAGAAGACTGGCTTCTGGAGGGGCTGTCACGGAGGAGCAAGAAGCACTGTGGGCGGGCAGCCCTTGAGTGAGCACCAAGGTATAGTAGGAACAGGACAGTGTTGGCTAGCAGAGCTCACGTTCATGATACTTCCTACAGCAAAGGTTACAAGGTTTGCATTTTAGGCTCCTGTGTGCCTAGAGTAATATGTGATGAGAGCAATATTGAATTATAGAATCATAGAATCATAGAATTACAGAATCATAGATTTGTTTGGGTTGGACATCTTCAACTAGACCAGGTTGCTCAGAGCCCTACCCAACCTGACCATGACAATTTCCGGGGAAACCACCTCTCTCTTGGTCACCTGTTCCATTATCTCACCACCCTCATTGAAAAGAAATTCTCTCTAATCCTAACACTCATTAATTTTTGTATCTTAAAAAGCATCAGGCATAGGTGTGTAGGAAGTGTGTGCTGGATGAGAGCTCATTTGCGATTCCTTGAGCTGGGACCCAAAGAGACGTACCAACCCCTCCAAGGTAAGGCGAGACAGTGTTCCAGGCACCAATGCTGCCTTTCCTCAGGCACTGTCCTAGGGCCAATTCAAGATGCAACAGTGGGATTCCTTCGAAGAAAAGAGCAATGAAGTATGGGATCAAGAAAGCCCCTGAAAAGACAATGAAGTGCAATTAAGTCACATGATTATCTGCATCTCTCTAAAATTACCATTTGGTGATTAATCTGCTTTATGAACCTAACAGTCTGTGTAGGATGAGTGAGGTATCATTTCTAGGGACACTTGCCAAATTTGTTACTGGTAATTTTGTTGGTGAAGACGGAGGAGGAAGGACTGGGACGCTTAGTGTTGCAGGACACTTCCCCTCAGGCATTTCTACAGCCCATTATAAGTATTTCACTCACGATTTCATCCCTTTCCCTTTCTTTTAAGCATCTTTTGTCCCCATTCTCATAAAGAACAAGGATTTTCCTGTCCCCTATACCATCTGTTTTCCCTTCAGTGCATTGGCTCATTCCCCTTCTTAAAGCTCTCAGGAACGTGCTCCTCCATCTTCCACTGCTAAAGCATGATTTTGTGCTGGATACCCCCAAGAGACCAGGTTGCTTTATTACATGAAGTTCTGCTCAGAGCACAAAGCCTCTGGCTAACGAAAAACTGAAAGCAAGGCTGAAGTTTTTCTGTGAGACATGGGGGCAACAAAACCCAATTTCTTCCCGGTTTGTATCCTTTGCATCTTTCCTGTTTTTCTCACAGCATCTCCTTTGGGCCAGAGGCAGCACATGCTGTTGGTTACCTGTGGGAAGGGACCAGTCCTGCCAGCAGCCTATTTCCTGCTAAACTGTGTGCAATTCCTTGTTTCCCACACCTTCCCTCAGAAAGGACATGGGTTTGGGCCTCCCTTCTTTTGCACAGATACTGATTTTTATGAGACCAGGAGAAGTTCCATCAGTATGTTTATACCACCTGCCCAAATGTCCAATCAAATTGAAATGGTGTAATAGATTGAAGTTTGTTGCCATGACCAACAACCACTGTGACCACGAAGCCTCTTTTCTCCAGGGAAACAACGACAGAAGTCCTGCCTCAGCCACCTCCCAGTCCTCCTACCAACGTGTACTGATTCTATGCTCCTCATTGCTTTGTCAATAAACCTGTGCCTTGTTCTACCATTTCTACTTTGCCTCCAAATCTCATATCTGAGTCTGCTCAGCTCTGCTCTTCCAGCTCTGGAAACTTTCTCCTCTTCCTCCAGGATGACAGGGAGAGCAGCCTCACCATCCCCATCCGAGAGAGCAGAACAGAGTAGCTCTGCTCTCTGCTCAGTCTTCAGCCCTGAGAGGGAGGTTGGGGAATGCAGAAGGATTTGCCGTCTCCACCTGGAGTGGCGCCAGGATTCTGCAATCACTGGTTATTTAGAAAGGCTGGGCAGATAAATCTAATCACTTAGGCTAGTGTTGTATTGCAGTAACTTCACTACCTATTGCTAGGAGCTGCAATAAATACATACAACATCCCAAGAAGGTGCGGTGTTGAATGGTTGAGCTTTCTATCAAAAAATCAGCAAAGCTCTTCGCAATGGAGGACTGTTCTTAAATTGCCAAACGTGGAAATAAATGTCTTGCCTTATGACCTGAACTCTTAAGATGTTTTTAACTACTAAGAAGCAGATTTGAAAAAGGAGTCTCACAGTTAATTCCCAGTACGTTAAATCCTTGATTTGGATCCTTGGTACCCCTGCTCAGTAGTCCTTGTCCTTGGAGGAAGCTCTAAAGTGGCTGTTACAAACTCCCCCCTCCAAGAGAGATTTACAGAGGGACTTAAGGACCACGGTAATTTGTTTATTTTTATTTGCCACCTGATGAAATCTCACCTGGAGCTACTTACCAAAGCTCCCATGTAAATATGAAGGAATTTGGAGGTCCCTTCCACAAGAACTCAGTAACCTCTTGCCATGCTCAGTTCTGTGCTCTGCTTCAAACCTGCTGCAGTATCCCTCTCCACAGCACACCTGACAGCCCAATGCCTTGGACTGGCCCCTGAGAAGAGCAAAATATTCAGGCAAGTGACCGGAGCACCACAGTATGGAGCACTCTACTTCTTTGTCTGGCTGCCTGGCCATGCACCAGCTCTGGGCAGTAGCTGTCTTGCTGTAATCCACACGATGCTGAGGCCTTGCTAACAGAGCACTCCATAAGAGCCCAACCTATCTCCCATATCATATCTCCTGGGAAATAACTATGTAATAATTAGTGCAAACTGCCCTCTGTTATCTCTCTCCCCTTTTCTGTTTGCTAGTTGAGCCAGTGACAGCAGAGCGTTTAGGTATTCTGCTGATAAAAACCTGTTTACTTTGTGCAGGCTTGTGTGTACCTTCAGGTATATTTACAGTATGGCAAAACGTAGTGTCACACTTGGAAAGAAGATACTGGTTTTTCACAGGAACACTGTAAAAAATCTGCTATCTGCAAATATGAAAATATGGCAGAAGATTTGGTTAAGAAGAAATAGGTTATGAAGCCAATCTTTCTCTAGTCTAATTGAAGTAAACAGCTTGTAGTGTAAAATTAAGTTTTCAGTTATTCATTCCTTTGCATTACCCTATTTTTAGGCAAAAAGAAAATAGTCAGGAGAAGGACAGTCATCCTGCTGAAGCACTTGAAGCTTACTCTTTTCCACAATAAAGTCCCCCCCCATAGCAAAACCAGAAATGCATTAACACAAAGGTATCATATATGGAATAGTGAGTAGGAACCCTCTAGTACCATATAGTCAAGGGCTCTGTTTAATAGATAGAAGAGGACGTGCAAGAAGGCAAAATATAAGCACCATTTTTTAAAAAATGCACTGAGAAATCTAACCATGGAAAAGGCAAGCAGAAAATCCAAGGAGTAGAATGAATCAGCAAGCTGGTACCTAACACACAGCAGATATCACAAACCAGAGCATTCAAACACAGGCACAGCAAAACCTCATCAGAACCTATATGATGCATAGCACAGGCACAGGGGAAACTCTGTAGATTTGGCTTCCATGAGGCATGGGAGAAGGAAATCTTAGCAGAAATGATCATAAAACACTAGTAACAAATTATCCTGTATCTGGACATTCTACATATATTTATATTTAGATATTCTAGATCTATATGCTCTACAATGAAAGGAAAACAAACTACGTAAGAAGCAAGCCAAGGATGGGGGGAACCTCTTTAAAAAAGGGTTTATTTTCAGTAATTTTTTCCTCTCAAAAAATGACTAAGAAAATGATAGTGATGAAGTATTTTTAAGTACTTTTAAAGTCTGGAGAAATGCCCATAAAAATTGAAAGTATTGCCAGAGCATGATTTAGTTGCATCCCTGAGGCATGACCTAGGAAAATTTTAGTCTACATCATTCCTTCTGTCAGAAAGACACTGAAGATTCATAAAGCAAGTAGATACATGAAGTACTAAAAGAAGGTCAAGGGGAAGGGGGGAAACCCAGTTCAGAATCTATGAGAGTTAAAAGTTGTTTTGGAAGGAGATCCTGCACAAGGATGCAACAAAGCTGTGGAACAATCCCTGTGCACATGAGAAGGCACAGAAAGCCTTCAAGAATTTTTTGAATCAGGCTATCAACAACTGCAAATACTGGACACACTGGTGAGCTGGTTCCATTAAGAATAGAGTCCCAAGTGACAAGGAGCACCAGTGTGTGACACGATTGGTGAAGAACCACTGGAATGGACGTAGCTCCACAGTCACAGCAGCAGAAAAGAAAGGACCTGGTGCACTCAAGATACGCTGAGGGTTTTTAAACCTGACCCCTTGATCGCAATGCACTGGCAACTGCTCAACCATATTTAGCAAAATGTCACTCGAAGGGCATGATCTTTGTTGTATCACCTGCACATGACAATCTGGATGAGAAGTGCTATGATGCAGCCTGGGGAGAGCTGCTGATGCACCACAGGACAGAATGACAAGGAGGGTCAGGAAGGAGCACAGTGTAAAGTTGGTTCACATCGACCAGCGAAACAGAGTGAAAGAACCTAACTGGGTTTGCAACTTCTTAGAAAGAGAGACCAACAGACCTGACCAGTGGAAATGTAAGGCAGACTGAAGAATCAGCCAGGTGACCTCCTGATCTACATATACCAAGATCAGCAGAAATCGATGAGTCTCAGCGAGAAGCAGAGAAGAAAACCTAGTAGCCTAGTAGCTTTTCTTGATGATGGGATACTAAGGAAGACTTCCTAAATGTTGGAGAAAAAATTGCAGGAACTGACCCATGTGTTCAATTTTGCATCTTAGCAGTGCTTGTGGACCAGCTTGAAGAAGAAAGGCAAGTGATTGAAATGATGATCTAAAGACACAATAACATTTGAAAGGGCAGAACTTGAATAATAACTCTCCTTCAGATAGAGATTTAGCAATAGAAAAAATAATTATGATAAAGACTGAAATGACCTGGAAAGTGTAAAAATAGTAACTTCAAATGCATCTGTAGAGTCTGAAAAATTCAGAAAGCACATCTCAGTGTGATACAATGCAACAAGAATTCAGAAATCCGCTTTACTGGTTCTGTTGGTACATAGGAGGAAGGGCAATGGGTGCACTTTTCCAAAATACTGAGGATTTAATGGCAAGATACCTACGACAATTTGTGTTTTACCTACAAGAAATTGCAATAGGTGGTAATTATTTGTTCAGATACAGAGAAAAAGCTATTAGCTATTGAAAGGGGATTATCAGACCCGTCCCATTTTCTTTATGGGAGTTCAGCTAAGCAGCGTAGTAGTCAACACAGCAAGGAATCACATCACGACATGTGGTAGGAAAAAAGGAGCAACTTAATTACACTCACTCCTCTCTCTAGAAAATGTACTTCATGACCTTTATTATGTCTTCTGCACATGCCTCAATTCAGATGAAAAGTATGAGTTAGTATAAACATCATATTTGTGCAGCATATTTATGATGGCACTGATTTTGACTTGCAAGTCACATTGTACATCTTACAGACTGAGACTTGGCAGGGTTGAATTTCCCCTGTAAATGACTATATCTCCTTGGGCAACACTGAAGGAGCTAAAGCTGAGTCCAGAAATCCAAGGGCGCAATAGCCATTTCAAACAAAGATGTGTAACACTCATAGATCAACTTATAAAATAATCTTGGTGAACTTCCTTTGAAATACTCATGACTAAAGGATGCAAGCAAGCTCACTTGCACCAGCCTGAGCTGTAAAGAGCAAACAAATATAACAAGCTGTGAAAGGATCAACTCCAAATGTCACAGCTTTACACCAAGGACTTGAGCAGAACACGACAACAATCCAGAAAATTGAGTTTGTTGCTTGCTGTAACACAATTTTTCTGTCAGAGAGTGAACTGTTCTGCACTTCCCAACATACTACGTTTTGGTTTGTGTGTCTTTACAGTATCTTCCAGGTATACATGTTGTTCCTCTTGAGTTTTGTTTTCTTTCTGAGGACACAGTGAGCCAGGCATTTGGCAGCAAGTCATAGTTCAAGTTTGAGGAAAAGGTCAGGTAGGGTTATGAAAGTCTGTAAATGGTTGCCCCAGAAGTAAACAGTTCTCCCTTTTTACCATGACTGTAGTGTTTACGCGTATTTCTTTTCCTAGAAAGAAACTGTATTTTATATTAAAGATGTTTTTCAGTCATCTTATAGGCTCAGGCACATTTTTAATGCCCGTGAGCTAGGCAAGCATATACTAGGAAAAATTAAAAATAAACCATTGCAGTCAGTCCAGCTAGAACTGTGATGATTTTTCTAAAGAATACTCAGATGACTCTATGTGTACACATATAGCTATATATGACTTGTTAGTGTCTCATTATATACTGAGTCAATATACACTTGCTAGTGTCTCAACAATATACTGGGCTGTTTAGAGACTTCTTTTCAATCCCAGTTGCCTGGGAACATTTGTGTTTGTCTGCACTGACTGTGGCAAACAACCTTCATACCCATTAGTCATGAAAAGTAAATAACTAACTTAACTCAGGCAATAAATCCAAATAATCAGTAACGGCAGCAGGTGATAAATGTCAGCAAAACTGATATTATATTAGATACGAGTTACTGAGTAACACTAATGTTCAATGAATCTGGTCCAGAGGTCTGATGGGAACAGCTGGCATGAGGCAAAAGCGCACGCACTTGTTTTCATCTCTTGGTTTTTAAAACATGTAGAAATGAGGAAAAGTACATTGACTAACGCTTAAATACTTGGATATCACCCGAACCAGCTGCAAAACTGTACCACAGAAACTATGCAGCCTTCGAGCATGTCTATGCCATATCCATACCAGGTTTAGCTGCACTTATGACTGTGGCTGCAGGCACAATCCACTGCAGCTCTCAGGGCTCCCAGTTAACTGTTGTCTCCCACTGCGGCTGTTCTCTCCCACGTTCACATCTTCAGATGCACACAAACAGGATTTATGCTCCAGTACTCCTGAAAATCTATTGGGCTTTTGCGTCTGAATTGT